TTCAAAACGTACTTAATATTAATAGATAGACAAGAAGAAAGAATAAAAAATATATTTGCAAATTTGACTTATTTGATAAACGTATTTGTCATTGAGTAAATGTCAATCAAGCTGAGCTAAATAATTTTTCTATTGAAGCACTAGTCTTTATGAGCACACACATTTCCGATTTCTTTCATTTGTTCAATGAGTCAGAATTTTCTGAATGTATTAGTTTAATTATGAGAAATTCTCATTTGAAATACTTACTTGTCTTCATAATAAACTCATTTGTTTACTTCAATCGAAACTATTCGACCATTCATCTTCTAATAAATGAATTGGATAATTAATGTTTTTTTGTTAAATGCTTATTAGGTTCTGGATTGAATAAAAAAGCTCCACTTACTCGTTTCTTTGCTTTATGAAGACCACTAAAATTTAATCACATATAGACATATTTATTCAATGTTAATTAATTTAAAAAAAGGAAAATTTTCAAAACGTTTAAATGCTAAAGCTAATAAATTTAGACGGCTAGTTGAACGTCAATCTGAATCAATGTCTGAATTTTCAAGTAATGTTTGAATAAGTGAAGACTAAAATAAAAATTATACACTATGAGAATCGCTTTAGCTAACTGATAAAGTACATAGATTTTCTTATTTCCATGATGATGAGTGCTATTCGATAATGTTGAAATCGATGATAATGAAGATATGTGTATGACCATCAATTGAACAAAGTATTCCAAATTGTTCAATTTCTTGAATTAGAAAAATTCTATTTAAATAAAAATAGAGATTGTGTCAGTGCAACTCGTTGAGGACTATAATGTAGAACTCACATGTGTTCTTTAGTCTCATTGTACTCCTTCCAAATACCTGAAGTGAAAAATTTCTACCAGATTATAAATGAATACATGAGAAATCAAATTTTACCCGTTTTTGTTTTTTAAGTTAATATGATTTTCATATTTTTTTCATCTTTGACTTTCTTTACTTTTTTCGGATGAGTTTCTTTCACCATTTCCTGTAAAAGGTGTGGGTATGGGTTTTTGTCTAGAGAAAACTACTCCACTGTTGAATCGTATCACATCTAAAAACTTCTTCAATATTCGTTTTCTTTTTATTTATACACTTAAAGTCATACAATATATAACTATATAACCTTTAGTGGCAGTTGAGATAACTGCTTTTCTCATAGTTCTCGATAGGACTCGTTGAGTATGGGTCTGCTCTCTTATAATTGGTACTGTTAAAGTAAAAGTCTATAATGATCACATTCATAAATGATCACTATCAAGATGCCATGAGAAATGTGAAATAAACTATAATGAAAAATATGATGAGTAAGAATTCGGCAAACTTTCAAATTTTCGTGTGGCATGTCTCTAAAACTTACACTCATTCTATTTTTCTTCGAAAAGAAAAACGTAACACGAGTTCTACAAAAAAACAAAAACAATTAATCATTTTATCATCAATTGTTAATGATTATGGATTAATATCAAATAAACTTTGAATATTCTTCAATTGAATGAGTGCAATATATTTTTATACCGAATGTTTTTCACATATATTCAAGACAATTGGAGAAAAGAAACAGTTAAATGTGTTCATGTTGTTCTTAATTCTTGTGAAAGTTCAATTATTTGAAATATTTCTATATAATCACGATGCGCAGCAAGAAACTCTGACTAAAATTTAACAATAACAAAACGTACTTAATACTATCGGAATCATTTTCTTACTCGACAATTATCAATAATATGAACAATATTAAACATTGATAAATGTTTTTCCGTTTTTCTACTTTGTTCATTTAATTTTTTTTTGCTATTTCACGTAATTTACCCAATGAATCAATTAATAATTGATAATCAATATGTGTTATTGATGTATATTTAAGTAAACGTTGAATGAGTCGTATCATTAAATGCAGCTCAATATTGTTCACCTAATTCAATGTTATGTTCACGAAGCTATTCGAAATAATTTTTATTTTTTACATTATCTATTCAATGAAATAAAATGACCTTAAGATAAGCATAAAAACGAGGATTCTTTTTTTTTTATCTAATGTATGAATCGCTTCCATTGTTTTAGCATAAAATTTTCTAAAATCTATTAGAAAAAAATAAAAGTTATATGAAAAATAATATAGAAATTGATTACAAAATAATAGTTCATTCGAAAATGCAAGTAACGATCTGTATAGATGAGTTAATGTAATACAAGAAAATTAAACTAGTCCATCACTATTGCAATTAAAATCCAATAAGTGTCCGACTTCGGTCGGATCACAAGAATACAATATGAATGATTAGTTCAGTACAGGGCTGCCAGATCTTCCGAATTTTGGTACTTTTTCCAAATTCTTTCGAATTTTGAATATTTTTTCGAGACCTGTTATTTCTCTAGATTCGAGATTTAATGACTTTGGTTAGAACTTCTAATTTAACTTTCATTATCAATTCATGCGCTGTCGTTGTTCTACTGTAATCATTCCATAATACAATTCTGAGACTATTTATAATGTAAGATCGTTTGAGTTTAAAATCTATCCGAGCTCAATGAATACTTTGTATTGTTTAAAAAAAATGTCATTTGAATCAATAACTTCTTTGACATGGACTGAACTTTAAATTTAGAAAAGTGTTTTTTTACATGAAAATTGTCTCTTGTTATTTTCAATTAAATTCAACCATGAATGATGGAGATGATGATTCAGATGTGAATTTAAGTGAGATTGAAGAAAGAAATAAGTATATCGGCAACAATTTTTGCACAAAATGCTGATAGAGCAACACATATACCCATAGAAAAAGTGGTATATATCTGATAATGGAACAACTGCTTTCCGAACTTTTTCCGAAGTAGAATATAAAAAATTCCGAATTTTGGTTAAAACATTTCGATTTCTAATTTTTCGATCTAGCAACTCTGGTTTAGTACGAGAAGAATTCCATAATAGTTTATGAAAATTGAAATACGTCAAAGGTATCAAATCTCGTTAAACTCGATAACTTTTTTCTAATGGTTTTATTCGACTGATAAACAAGCAGAAAAAAATTTATGCATTCTTTTTGAAAACTATTGTTTGATTGTTGAGAAGCGAGTTTGTATTCAGACTTTACTATCGTATCGAACAATCAAATAATGCTTGTAGAAAAACTATACATAGATTTTTTTTTAAGCATATGACTAGTAAAATCTTGAAAAAATATCGAGCCTGTTGATACTTAATCATTTTATGATGTATTTTTTTTTGCAAATATAGTTTTTGCGATAATAACATTGGTCGAGTCTGTTAACAACAGAATATTTTCACAAGTAACTCAACAGACTCTATAATTCTTTTTTAACTAGTAAAATATATTTCATTGAATAATTATCTTACTTGAATAATATTTAATAATATTGTAAAATTAATATTAATTTTCATTCGATTTCTCTTATATTCCATTCCAATTAAATACTAATTATATATGTTAATATTTTGTTCTCTATAACAATATTGTCATCTAATACATACTCATTTTTATTAATATTAAAATGTTTCCGAATTTGGTATAGTATTAATTCATATTTTCGTTTTAATAGTTGTATTGAATAATAAATCAAGTAATGGACTATTAATCATATGTTGATGATGAAAATAATAATAATGAAGAAATTTGACGATGTTGTTGTTTAATTATTAGTTAAATTAATTGTACACATGGATTTATCAACATTATTCATTAAACATAAAATTCTCCAAATCACTAAAAACATTATTATATATACATTTTTTAATCTTTTTTCTTTATTGATTAATACATACTTGTACATGAATAACAAATTGTTGATCTTGATGTGTATAGAATAGATATGTCGATATAAATAAATTTTTATTCAAAAGAAGAATATATCTTGTTTCATTCTTTTCTGTTGTAATAAATCCACCTAACAAAGAAAGATTTTTTCAAACTTCTGTAATGAATTATTTTGATCTAAAATTTTGTTGATATTTAGATATGTTCATCCAAAAAGAATATTATTGAAAAAATTTAAGTGTTTAAAAACTTCCATTGTTTTGTTTTTTTCGGCAGTCTATGAAATTGAATCAACTTTTTTAACATTAAGTATGCCTACTTAAGTAATAGTTTGTCTAATGTAATATATTTTGTATTTTATCATAACAAATAAAATAATTATACATAAATGTTGTTATTGATTATCATTAATAAAAATAAACAAAACAATTTCATTTTCATTCCAAATGAGATACAATCTAAAAAAATTCATAAATAAATCATTATGTATGTTAATGTTAACAAGAGAGAAAGGAAAGAAAAAAGAGATATATGTGAAGAGAGGAATTTTCTTTTTCGTCTTTCTCTCGTCCATAAATCATTGTTCATGTTGTTATCATTGACGATGAATGATCAACATGTACAATTAAATATGTATATCATTTTCAACGAAAGAAAAAAATGATTTTTGAAGGTACATATACGAATGATTTTCTATGTAAAATCATTCAAATTTTTGAATCACATAATAATCATTTTTCTTTTTCTGTTTTAGATTGACCTCAATGATACAAAATTACTCAAATCAAGATCAAGCCATACAATAAAAACAAATGTAGGTATTAGTTTTACTTTTTTTTCTTTTTTTAATTTTACGATCATAAGGATGATGGGGTAAGGCCTCCTTTGATCTTTTTATTATTATTCTTTTTATTTTAGGGAATAAACAATGAAGAAAAAGATAACATTAGGGTAAGTCATCTCATACTATTTCATTAAATAACATTGATTAAATTATTTTTTCTGTTCCTTTCAGCTATCAATATCATTGCGTCATCAACATCAGACACAGTAAGTAATTTTTTTTTTTTGAGATGAGAATAGGTAGTGAGATTGAGAGGTTAGGGTGAGACTAAGAAAAGTGAGTGTTAGTGAGAGACGAGGGTGAGTTCTGTTCGTTGAGGGTTAGGTTTTCGTCTCTTATGAAGGACTTCCGGGTAGTCCCTAAAAGCTCGGCCAGGAATCGTCTTGGTGTCCGTGGCACACGATCAGACTTATTCAGACTCATTGACATATCTCTCGCGGGGAGGGTATGAATGATATGAGTCTGTCCTGTGCGTGCATGAGCGTTACGCTCGCCACGGCTCCACCAGGATGGTTCCTGGTCGCGCGCGCGCGAATAGAATAAGCCATTCATTTCATCAATTCAATGCAATTTATTTGAAAGGAAAGAAACGCAAAATAAATAATCCATCGTTTTGAGTCTATTCAATTGAAAAGCGTTGAACACGATGATTCTCCCAATCGACGACATAGAGATTGCCATGTCGACAGAAGGACAAATCGACGGGATAGTTGAACTGATTTGCTCCTGCTCCTTCACCATATCCACCCACAATGACAGTGCCCTGTTTCGCTCCTTTAGGGCAACGCATCACTCGATGATTTCCCAAGTCTGCCACATAGATGGTACCCAATGTATCGACGAACAGTCCGTAAGGATACGACAATTGTGTCAGAGCATTCCCTTGGCCTTGACCTCCAGCGACGACGATTCCTTCTTTTGCACCTTTATTCCATTTCATTACACGATGATTGTTGTTGTCTGGCACGTAGACAGTTTGTTGTTGATCGACAAAGATGTATCTCGGTCTGTTGAGTTGATTGAGACCATCACCTCTGCCATTGCTACCAGCCACAATAGTTCCATTCTTGTCTCCTATTTGATATCGTCTTACTTCATGTTTCGTGTAGTCAGAGATGTAGAGATATCTCTGATCATCCATGGCCAATCCATAGCAAAGGATGTTGCCGATGAGAATTTCTCCTTGAGTTGTACCACTACGACGAGACCATCGTACGACTCGTTGATTCAACCAATCACAAATAATGAGATTATCCGTCTCTTTGTCAATCAATACATCGGTTGGATGATATAATTGATCCAATCGATTTCCTTGGCCATTGCCACCGGCTACTACTTGTCCATTCTTATCACCCATCTTCCATTGGATGATACGATGATTGTTGTAGTCAGCGATGACTATCGTTTGATCATCATCAACGAAGAGACCATGAGGGCTGTTGAGTTGATTGGTGGCACTGCCTTCTCCATGGCCTCCAGCAACGGTCGTCCCATTCTGTGCCCATCGGGTATCAACTGGAATATTGGGAATTACTACAATGAACGAAAAATAAAAGGAATCGTCGTTGTCGAAGGGATCTCGTCCCTCGTGGGAGCAAGTGCTACAAATACGACATTCGTCTTTGAGAATGCTCATTCCACAGATAAAAATTCAGAAGTCTTTTCTTAGTTTTCTATGAGAAAAAAGGATTTGGTAACGATTCTTACATCTATATTACTTCTAGTTCTTGCCAAGATCTTTTTGATCATAAAAATAACACCTGGACATTGCTGTAAGGAGGTTCTCCAAGAAAGAGTAATACTAATTCCATGTAAGTTTTTGATAGAAAAACATAAGGATCTGAGGATTTTTTCAGAATTGCAAGAATTCAGAATCTTTTTGGCAGAATGATCATTTATATGAATATCAGAGAAGATTCTATCTGTATCTTGTGACAACAATACCGAATCGTTGAACAACAAAATATCAAACCTAATCCCTATGCTTTTCAGGAAATCTAAAGGATACATGATTTTCTGTATGATGAATGTAGATCTGCCGAAGAATCATCTAAGTATTTGCATAGAGAATGCTGGTGAAAATTTATAAGGCTTTTGATAAGTTATGCCAAGCTGTTCGAAGAACAACCGTGATGTACTCTGAGTAAGATCATGAGAAGGTTTGGATACAGGCGAAACTGAACAAAATTGAGAGGATTTCACGCGAATCTATGTAATCTGAGAGGGCTTCTACTTTTGCAAATGCTGAAAAGATGGATGTCAATGCGAACGGAGTTTTCCAGTGAAAAACATTGGGATCTATGGATTTTATGGGCTTTGAAAAGAAAGTGTTCTAAAATGCTATGCTTAACTTTTGATGAACACCATCTTCAAACCATTGTATTAGGGTCCTCGAAGAGAATCTTGATGACTAAATAAGATACTCTATCAAAATCTGAAAATCTAAAAATACTGAGTATTTTTTATGAGGATCACGTTATAATCCTTATGTAGTACTTGTTCTGAGAAGTCTTCTGTAAGCTCACGTGTTATGGATACGTTCAGGAGGATCTGAAGAGTAAGTATTTTGGAATGGTTGATATCAGAGATGCGCAATTCCAACTCCAAAGTTGATGCTTTTTCTCATCAGAGTGAAAATGGAGTAAGAACAGGACAGAATGGAGGTGCCTATCTTTGAATTTTATGAGAAAGTTTATAAAGCAATAAATTAATATGCTACTAATTTATATCAATCGTAGATTTAATTATGTTCAAAAACTTATGTGTATTGAAGAGTGTTTTGGCAGAAGTTCAGTTTTGTAAAATCTGATTAGAATTGAAGTTAAATGGGAGTTAGAGTAGGATTTTAGAAAAAAGGAGTAGAGTGGTATGGGGTTCGAGCGGAACACACTGCAGTTTAAATTGAGGTGGAGTTTTAGAAAAGAGTGGGGCGTGAATGAGTGTTGGCATCCTCTTCACTCTCGCCTACACTCACACTCACACCAATACCCTCTAAGGGGATTTCTATGCTCTAGTGAAACTTATTTTGAGTCTGTAGCTCATTGTCTTGTGATATAGAATGTTCAAAAAAAGTAAACTTGTATTTTATATATCAGCATAATAAGTCATTTTAGACTAGAGAAAAGCAGTAATTTATGTTACAAAAGGTGTTTTACGAGGATTTTTAGTTTTTTGATAAGATCCCATGTCGAACGGAACGACTTCCGTATGCGTATGGATTAGTATGTGTACGCTATACATACCAAAACAGGTTCTCTAATAAGGAGGGCTTTCGTGATTTTTTTTTCTTAAATATTGAGAATTTATATTAAATTTTTTTTCGTACATATTTTGAAATCTAATTATTCTGATTTGTTTAATTTTATTGATTTACAATAAAATTACATTTCATTTCATTTAAATTAAAACGAAAGTAAAAAAAAATGGAATTATTTTATTTATTTTTAAATCGAATAAAAACAAATCTATTCAAATAATTTCAATTTCATTTAGAACAAATAAAGATCTACACTTTTTGTAGTTATTATAGTTTTCAAAAAATTAAAATTAAAAAAAAAAATTAAAATTAAAATGAAATAATTCTTACTTTTATTTCGTTTTCGAAAGAAATTTACGAAAAAATATTTTATATTTATTCTTTAATTAAAGTTTAACTGAAACGAAATGAATTTGACAGAGATAGATATTTGAAATTAAAAAAATTCATTATTTAGGAAAATCCTTTAAATTTATTATTTTTACGTGTTTTTTTTAATGTTGTTTTTTCATTTTTTTCTTGAATAAATTTCGTCTTAAAGGCCGTGAAGAAAGTTCATCGCTCGATTCGATTTGTTACAGACTGGTGGGAAAACCATATGACCAGTGTTTTGCTGATTATTCAAATGCTGATCCTAAGCTTAAATTATCATAAGCAAGTCAAGACATCATCCTCACAGCGAATGGTCGATAAAGGAAAAAGTTGTTTTGTTTGGGCGAAAGAAACTGTAAAAGCATAAAGAGTATGTCGTTCCAAGAACAATCAATAACTATCGTCATCGAGAAGCTTTAAAGTCGTTCTATGTTATTACAAAATCATTAAAATCGAAAACTCATATATCGGATCAATTATGGATGTGCCATATGTTAAAAGATTGGACCGAGCAGGATTTTCTTCACCTCGCACCATCTGATGAATTTTTTGTCTCGGTTGTGCGTCGATCAAATTATCAAAATGACCGAATTTGGGCACAAAGTGCCGACAAAATTCAAGAACATGCACGGTATTATGAAATAGTTAAAAATTAAGCATGTATTAGGATTTTTGTTATATTTACCGTTAAGAGATTACATTGGATAATTAAAGATAAAGGTGAATCTTGAACTGAACGATATTTTCATGATATAATTTTGACTGAAAACGTATTTCTGTTCTTAAAAAATGAAGAAAATGTTATCGATCCTGATGAAATTTTATTTGTCACTGATAAAGCATTATGTATGCGAACAAATCAGATCCAACATTTGCTTCAACATAACGATGTTAAGTTTTGGGATAATAATAGTTGAATTGAGAATTCACCCAATTTGAATGTGACGGAACATATTGGAACAATAATCAAGGATGAAGTCGAAAAGAAATGTTATCAGAAGCTAGACATTCTCGTTATCTTGAAGAAACAGTTAAAATGCACACTTTAGATGTTTTGACAAACATGCAAATCGACACTGATTTATTTGAAACTCTTCTATGTTCGTATCTATCTCGACTGCGTGCAATAAAGAACGCTAAAGGTCGTCATATTGATTATTGATTGTATTTATTAAACAATGAAGAAATAAAGAATTTTG